AAGTATACTTTATATCTTTATTTCACTACACGTGATACTCAAATAAATAAATCACAAGATGATGTCGACACTAAATAAATCAAGAACAAAGCAAAACGTAGTAGATGCTGACACTTTAAACGCTATCAAGTTCCTTATTACAACCAGCTGCTCGATTAATACTTTTAATAATCTCTTACTGAGGAAAATAATCAAAGTTCCACTTCTTTGTTTCAAAAAGTATTTTTTAGAGAAAGCTTGATACCAGAAACGATGGCGAAATTATCAAACGTACTTAACATAAAATTAGACGATGCCCTCGTTGTCTCTTTATTTAGCGATATATGGACATCTCCTAAAATGTTGGACTTTATTGCGTTTGGTGAAACATTAACGAACAGTGATTTAAAAAAAAGATATCATTATTATTAGTAGGGAACTAATGACGGGACGTTACAATGCAAAAAATATTAAATTCGAAGTTGAAAAAATTTCCATTACCTTTGCCTTGAATGAATTTAAAATAAACGGTGCTTTTTTTAATTTTATAGCTTTAAATAATGTAATCACAATAAATTTATTCATTACTTTAGTTATATTTTATATAAGAGCTATTGTTATTTATATTATTAAATTTAATCTACAACGGAAAAATCCGTGAAGCTGGGAAAGCAACCAATCCCTGCTATGGTAGATCCCGTATAGAGGATTACTAAACAAAAATGAAAATTAAATAAATATATCGGCACATTGAGTTAATAACATTCCCGAACGAGAAACAGAATTACCAATGATACAGTTTTTTTTGAAAGTCAAAAAATCTGTCAAGATTTTTTTTGAATTTGAAAGTGTTAATGATGACAATGTCTGATACATTTCTATCTAAGGTAAGGATATCTGGTGGTAGTGCATTCGAATCAACTGCCACGCGGTTAATAATTCTTGGCCCGAATGCAATGGGGGAAAATCCCGAAGACCACCGGCTGGTCTGGTAATTCGATCCATATAACTTTGCATATGCCGTGGTAGTTCTTAAAGTATTGTATAAGATCACTTCGGCACCTTCGATTTTCAAGTGATTGGATAACAATAGCTGAGCAGTGTTCCTTGGCTTTCATGGGTCGCAGATTTGGGGCAAGTTTTGTGGCTCGATTTTGAACAGCTTCAAGACCTTTTATATTTTTAATTGAAAAGGGTCCCCATACTGCTGAGCAATTTCTTCTCGAATATGTTTACAATACTCATGTAACTCTTCGAACTTATTTGCCTTAACAAGACTTTTAAAGAAATCTTTTTTCTTTAAAAAGTATAAACATTTACAAATGTCAAACATTATTCTGTTTATTAAATTTAGATCTTCATTAACTCTAGATAAATTAAACTGTTTTATTTCAGCATCCATTAAGTTATTTAAATTTAACTTTATCCCAGATCCATCAAGGCAGGTTAAAGAACTATGAAAGGGTTTTTGTTGACATAATTATTTTCTAGCATTTTGCTTATTCTCTGTTAACAAGAGTAATAATTTGAACCAAAAAAGTAGAAACATTTAAGCGTATACAATTACGAATTGCCTCCATTACTCGTTGGATTAATAGAAGGTTTCAATATACAAGTTATCTAATAAAAATAATAAGACTCGTGAAATAACAAAAAAAGCGTTAAAAACCTCTTAAAACTGCAACTTACAAAATCTAATTTTGCTCCAAATGAGGCCTTACACAAGAGCAGTGAACATTTCAAGAGTCCAATGTTTGAAGTGCGTCTAAAAATTCCAAGAACAGAATATGAGTTTGAAATAGCTTTTGCTACTTGATCGTTCCACGAAAATCGATTGTGAACAACAACACCAAGATCACGTTCAGATATGGTCTCTTTAAGAATGTGAGAAAAGCCAATTTTGTCAGCAATTTTTAGTTGGAAGCAGGGATCATTAAATTTATCATCAACAAAAGTTTTGTTGTTTAATTGTTGTGTGCCGCGATGGTTGTTAGAATTTATATAACTGCATTTTTCTAGATTGAAGCTCATTGACCAAGTATCAGCCCAGTCAACGACATTATCGATGTTGGTTTGTAATTGCTGCAGGTCAGAGGGTTCTTTTATAATCGCAATAATTTTGGTTTCGTCAGCATAAAGTTTGCATTAGTGATTGAGTTGACGAGGCATATCATTAATAAAAATGAGGAATAGCAATGGTTCAATACATGAACCCTGAGGTAAACACCATATTAAATGTGATGAGAAGAGCTCATTCGTCAGACTGTTTTAGCAATTATTTGAAAAGGTGTCAAGATGAAAGAGATAAAAAAACGAAAGGTGGCTATAGCGCATATGAAAATAGTCCATTGCTGAATCAAAAGCTTGCCCTTTATATTAAAGAAACAGATAATGAGCAGCTAAAAATTTGTGAAGATGAAGCCTAAATACTGAAGTTCAAACACAAATATTGAATTCACATCTCAAAGGTGAAGCCTTAAATATCATTATAAATTCAAACCTCTGATGAAGTTCTTAAAGTGCAATTAACTAAATCAAGGAAGCTTACTTTTACAAATGTTATTCAGTTAGCCAAAAACAGCTGAAAAAATAAACATCACTTATGACTTTAACAAAGATAATAAATACAATCTTTAAAGTGCTGGAAAATTAAAACTTATGACGTAAACGAAGATAACGAATAAGATCTTCATAGTTATTAAAGAACTGTAAATTGAATTAGAAACATCGAAATTACCGTGGTTTTCTTGCGCAGCTCATAAAACCAACATTTTTGTACTAATTGCTATTAAGTAATAAAATTACTAACGCATTGGTAGTGGCTTACATTAGTGATACACATTAGTAATATAAATTCAAACTATTTTAACAATGGAATCTCTTATACAACAGTGGAAGTACGAATGAATAAAAAAACTATTTTAAAAATGAAAACTTAGTCGTTTAAACAGTCATTAGATAATATTTTTTATATTCATTTTTCAACTTATTCAAGATAAAACATTATCTAGTTTGCAGCTCTCAAAGGTTAACACTAGATTAATAGACAGGATAGAGTTGAAACTAGTTTAATAGGCAGAATAGCAGGATCTTAATCTTTTTAGACCTTCCTACATAATTCTAATTTTGACATATTTTAGGCCTAAAAACGAAAATAATATAATTGGCAGCACTCAATATTTTATATTTATATATATATATATATATATATATATATATATATATATATATATATATATATATATATATATATATATATATATATATATATATATATATATATATATATATATATATATATATATATATATATATATATATATATATAAATTAGTAGAAAATCACTTAGCAAAAATTTTTTTTCAATTAACACTGTGTTTCATCAATATAGACTCATCAGAAAATATATATAAAATATATATATAATAAATATATAGTATATATAAAATATATAATATATATATATATATATATATACATATATATATATATATATATATATATATATATATATATATATATATATATATATATATATATATAAAATATATATATATATATATATATATATATATATATATATATATATATATATATATATATATATATATATATATATATATATATATATATATACAGTTAATGCTGCAACTCAACTTAAAAATTATGATACTTTGTTTGAAAACACAGTTCTTTCTTTTGATTGTATACAAGAACTAACCGACTTTCATAAAAAGCTGAAAGAAAATAGCACTTTAGTTATTAGCATGTCATTTTTCAAATTTTTATATGTCAGCTTTTTTATATGTCATAATTTTTATATATCAGCTTTTTATGAAAGTCGGTTAGTTCTTGTTATATACATACATATGTATATATATATATAGTTTACCTTAGACATTAATCATGAACACAATACTGTTTTCGTGATAACGAAGATATCGTTCAATTTGTTCTAATTCAAGAGAAGCAATTTCCATTCAGTTTTTACAGCATTCTTTTAAGCAGCAAGATTTTTATTATAATTTTCAATGTAATCATTAACAGATTTTACTTCAACCTTACAGTTTGTACAAGTGTGTAACTGATGGCTTTGCAAATGTGATAACATTGTTTTGTCAATTAATGATGGACATGGAGCGCTGAATCCTTGGTGACCCATATTATTATCAAGAAAATGATAATCTCCACCTAAAAATACCTTGACATTACGACTATCTTTATTTTTGAATTAAGGTTGTTGCATAATTTTAAACTGTCGGTAATGAACTGGATACTAAATCTTCATCTTATTCCCGACACTATCATGTGCTCTAAACATAAAATAATATGCTCCTTGTCACCAGAACCAGAATTATTTGAATTAATATTTTCAAAAAAATATTTCATGTGATCTCCATCTTTATTATTGACAGCAAGAACCGCCATTTATTGTCAAATGTGTTTTCGAAAAAATACCCTTTACAATTTTTAAAAATTATTTCTTCAAGAAATTTAATCACTTTTTACACACTCACATCGGAACAAGATTTAACTTTGTATGATTTTCTCAACCCTAAAAAACCTATTTCAACTTCTTTCATGTGGGAAATTATTGGGAACTTTTCCTTATTTATTTTGCGATCCGATGTTAGAATATTCTTTTTAAATTATTTAGACATATTCTTCAATTTTTCATTTGTTGCTCCGTATATCTAAAAGGATTGTATTGTAGCAGCATCTTTTTCAGAAAGTTTTAGTAGTGGAATAACGAAGTTATAAAGAATTTCATGTTTTTATTCAAACAAACTAACTCTTTGAAAATTTTACAAGAGCATCGTTTTGATTGTTTATCTGAAAAATTTTCAATAAAATGTACACATTTCTGCAAAACATTTTTGGTCGCAAATGTACTGAAAGAATCTTCAAACTGAGCATTTATTCGATCATGCCCGTCCTAATTGTGCTTAAACATAGAATTCGTTCCGAAATAACTTGCTTTACAAAACAAGCCACCGCCTAATTATCCTGTAATAGTCACTATGTCTTTTGATATTATGTTAAAAAAGTTTGTTGTAACATCTTTCTCTAATAGTGGTACTTCACTTTTTATTAGAACTGAAGTAAATGGTAATTTTTTTATTTTTATTCCACCCTTAATTTCATCCATGTATTTTATTAAGTTGAAACATTAATGTTTTAACTTCTTCAATTTGATTTTAAGAGATTTTATGCCAAATCTTTTTTAGCAACTGCAAAGAGTATACTTCTTCCTTTATCAAGATTTGTTTGTTTTTTTAAATTAGTAGTAATAGTTTCAATTGTCCCCGTTAAAATTTTGTTTTTCAAAAGAAGAGAGTTATTTGATTTTGATTTCTTCTCGAATATGTTTACAATACTCATGTAACTCTTTGAACTTATTTGCCTTAACAAGACTTCTGTTGATTCTGAAGCAATAGATTTAATAAACAAAAAGAAATCTTTTTTCTTTAAAAAGTATAAACATTTACAAATGTCAAACATTATTCTGTTTATTAAATTTAGATCTTCATTATCTCTAGATAAATTAAACTGTTTTATTTCAGCATCCATTAAGTTATTTAAATTTAACTTTATCCCAATCCATTTAAATTTAACTTTATCCCCGATAAATTTAACTAAATTTAACTTTATCCCAGATCCATTAAGGCAGGTTAAAGAACTATGAAAAGGTTTTTGTTGACATTGGAAGCATAATCATTTTCTAGCATTTTGCTTATTTTCTGTTAACATGAGTAATAATTTGAACCAAAAAAGTAGAAACAATAAAGCATATACAATTACGAATTGCCTCCATTACTCGTTGGATTAATAGAAGGTTTCAATAAACAAGTTATTTAATAAAAATAATAAGACTCGTGAAATAAAAAAAAAGGCCTTAAGAACGTCTTAAAACTGCAACTTACAAAATCTAATGTTGCTTATAAACGAGAGGCATGCTGGCATTTTTAACTTAAACTATAAACAAAAAGTAATGTTGTTTTTAATTAAAGTTTTGTAAAACAATTTTACTTAACAAAGCATTCTTTTCAATGATTATTACAAAAAATATTAAAATTGCATTAAAGCATTACAGCTTTCTACGAGCAGAATAATAAACCATATGAGTAACTTTCAAATAGCTATAAATGATATAGCTACAATATTTACAAACATGAAATAAAATAAAATATATAGCTATGAATACTTTTTAAATATCAAAACTTTCAAATAAAATACAATAAAAAAGCACATTCTTCTGGATGATCAGCCATAACTAAAAATATCTGCCTCGATATTAAATGCAAAGTAAAAAGACAAGTCAATAAACGTTATATTTTCAACTTTAGTTTATCAATTATAAATCAACCTTAAACTGACGTTGAAAGTTCAGACTTTTAACGTCAGTTTAAGGTTGATTTCTGCGTCACTAAGAGGTTGAAAAGAAATTATTTTTATCAACTTTACTTTATTATAGGTAATTCAACGTGGAAGCGACGGTAAACGTTAAAATTTTAACCTTAAAATTTTAACCTTGCGTAGACGTTGACACAACGTCGTTTTCTTGCTGGATCATTGCTCTCAAATTTGGGGTGAGGAGAATAACATTTTTAAGTATTTTTGTTCCAATGCTCTATTCACCGGAAAACTTTGCAAAACTCTTTATATAACATAACTATAAACATACTTAAGTTTGGAATTTTCACTACCTCTGAAAGTGTCACATCTGCAAAACCAAAAAATCAAAATTTTCTTACTAAATAACATGTCGTTCAAAGTAATCAAAACTTAATTTTAATGTCAGAAATGGATTCCCTGACCCAAAAAATATATGAATAAATATATAATATTTAGATATTTTCTGTTTTTGCTATATATATATATATATATATATATATATATATATATATATATATATATATATATATATATATATATATATATATATATATATATATATTTATATATATATATATATATATATATATATATTTATATATATATATATATATATATATATATATATATATATATATATATATGTTTATATATATATATATATATATATATATATATATATATATATATATATATATATATATATATATATATATATATATATATATATATATATATATATATATATATATATATATATATATATACATGTATACACGGACTATTTAAAAGTATACTTCTTTTAAATTATGCCATCCTTATAAATTATTAACTTATTGTTTTAAAATAATATTTTCACAATTATTATTATTATTAATTTAAATGAGTATATCGTAGTGATTATTAAAGAAAAATAAATATTTTCTTGTTAATAGTAATAACACAAAGAGAATAATTTATAACATATGTAACATTACATAGGTCATATGTGAAAGACTTAATACCGTCTTATTCTGACGTACTAGAGACGTCCTAATTTCACCTATACACTCTTTTAAAAGTTATATAAAAATGCAATGATATATATTATACACCTTATATTTGATTTAATTTAAGCAAGGGAAGGTATAAAGAGAAATATAAGTATAAAAAGTGTAATTTGATATATTTAAAATAAATTAATTATTTTACGAAAAGTTAGACAAACTTTTCGAACGAAGTTACACTTTCTAAATTAAAAAATAATATATTCTGTAAAGTATAATCGAGAGTATATTAATTCTGTAATTGAGAGTATTATAAGTAAAAGAAAATTACTAAAAATGCAAACTAAAAAAAATAATTAATAAAACAAATAGTTATAGTAAACTAAGCCATCATTAACCGAAATCGATATTAGTGGATATTTTCTTTAAGCGGTCGGAAGAATGCCTAATTACTCTCCTAAAAAAAAATTTTGGTTTTTATTACAATGGCATTCATTATGTTTTTATTTGACTTTAAAGCAGCATCTAATAATTACGATCTTATTGAACACATAGTTAAATTAGATCATAAAATAAAATATAGTTAAATACATGTCATGTTACAAAGCCAGAAAAATTTTAAAACAATTTTTTTTTTTATTTGTTTAAACATCCCATTTAGTTCTAAGAGTTAATCAAACACATTGACTTGTCAATACTTAAACTTTTCTTCTTTGGACCATTTATGGCCATTCCCTCTTAAAATAGTGTCTGTTGACAGTCTTTAATTTAACAAGTTTGAAGATAACTTTTCTCTAAAACGTTGAAAAGTAGAATATAATAATAAAGCCATATAATATATAAATATATATATAAATATATATATATATATATATATATATATATATATATATATATATAAATATATATATACATATGTGTGTGTATATATAACTTATACATATATAAACATATATTTAAACAAATTCCTGGGCAGTGCTATTATGCTTCTAAAATGAGAGGAAATGTGAGTGATAAATACAAGTATGTAATGGCTAATAAACTTTTGAAAAAATTAATGATTTGGCAGACACTTTGCTTTTGCGGCAAAATATCGCCAATTCATGTTTGTGTGGGCACAATGAAATCTTCGGAATACGTGAAATGTTGTCTTTCGTTTTACGTTGTAAAACTTTTGAGTATCTTTTACGTAATGTATCTTTGAGTTGTATCTTTGAGTATCTATGTTAGTTCCGAAAAAGATGAACCCTCCAAACTGCCCCGAATTACGTTCTATTGAAAAATATTGGGTCATCATAAAAAAGAAATTGAAATTAAGTGGAAAAACAGTAAAATCAGCTACAGATTTGAAAAAAATGGGATTACGCTGCTGAAACTTACAAAAATCACTCTGTTTAGAAACTTATGGGAGGCATCAAAAAGAAAGTCGGAATTTTCTGTATAACATATTTTTTTGTTTTTTCTCTGTTAATATGTAATCTTTACAGTCTTAAATTTTTAGAAATATATTGATTTAAATACATTTAAGCTTTCTTACATCCATTTTTGATCAAGAAAGGTAAGCATAATTTTCCAATAGCATGCCTTATATATATATATATATATATATATATATATATATATATATATATATATATATATATATATATATATATATATATATATATATATATATATATATATATATATATATATATATATATATATTTATATATATATATATATATATATATATATATATATATATATATATATTTATATATATATATATATATATATATTTATATATATATATATATATATATATATATATATATAAATATATATATATATATATATATATATATATATATATATATATATATATATATATATATATATATATTTATATATACATATATATCAGGGGTTTTGAGTCGTAAAAAAAAGTAACGACTCCGACTCCAGTTGTTAAAATTTTTTGAGTACAACTCCGACTCAAACTCCGACTCCAACTCCAAAGCAAAATTTGTGAAAAATTCTTTGAATTCTTTAAAAAATATTGCCCGGAAAGTTGAAATTTTTTTTTTAACAAATTAAAAAACATTCTTTGATGTTTAGTATGAACATAAAGTTAATTGAATATTTTGTACATGCACGTGCAATACCAAGATATTTTACTATCGGAGTCGGAGTCGCAATATATTTTAGCGACTCCGACTCCACAGCCCTGATGTATATATATATATACATATATATATATATATATATATATATATATATATATATATATATATATATATATATATATATATATATATATATATATATATATATATATATATATATATATATATATATATATATATATATATATATATATATATATATATATATATATATATATATATATATATATATATATATATATATATATATATATATATATATATATATATATATATATATATATATATATTATATAAACGAATTTTTACATAAAATGACGCACCACTTTGTATAACTGACGCTTGTTTATTCTTCATATTTAGGCCGAATTTTAAAAATTAATGTTAGGACTAAGCATTAATAATGTTTATATAGAAGGGGCATGTCAATAGCTCTCCGCCCCCCTCACCCTATTTTCAGAGATGTCTTCCCCCTCTCTTCTTCCCCCCATACTTTGTTTGTTGGAGATGGGAGGGGGGGGCAAGCAAATTTATTTAAATTTTATTGTAAATCATATTATTTAAAATCACTTTTTTTTCTTTAGAAAAAAAGACAATATAAATATTAAATTATGAAAACATTTTGATGCCTGAATATTTTGGAATTTTTATTAGTTTCCGTGGTAATTTTATAAACTAACAAATTGTCGTATTTGCGGAAGACATATTGTCGTATTTTTAAATTCTCTGCTCTGTGTTCTGTGTATCTGGTGTATCCATAACATTCTATAAAAGGTATACTATCTGCGGTTATATACAAAATTGTTATTGTAAAATACATGTCATTTAATCAAAGAATGAATATGAATTGTTTTCTTTAATCAAATTACTGTTTAGAAACCAAGATGCCAAGATCAACAAGACTTAAAACAAAGGCTTATCTTTTTGAAGAAGAGCATTTTATAGAAAACCTACCAGAAATAATGTTTTCAACAAATAAAGACATTAATCTCTACTTTCAGTTTAGAAGATCTGGAGACAAAATAGCTCCAACAAAAAAGCTGATTGCTTGTACCATTGGTCATCAAACAGCAAAGTGTTCTGGTCTTGGTAGCTGTCCTAAAAACTGCATTATGTTTGCAGTTAAGAAACCTTGGATAGACGGAGGATACGAGGATGGGATACTCACTGACCCATTTATAAGGTAGGTTAAACAAAATTTAATTCATATTTAATGGACAGGTTACCATAAAATACACTACAAAAATTTTGGATAATATAATATTTTCTAAACCAGTTATATATTATTATAGGAAGCATATCACTGATCTGATCAACAGCCGGGAGAGTTTAAAAAAAAGTAAGTGTAAGAACTCGAAAGAAGCAGGAAAAGCTAGACAAGATTTCAAAAAAAAAAAGGAAATAAGGTTTTCTGGATTGCTAAACCAAATATCTAAGATATTCTAAAAAAGACAAGCCTTAATGAGGTCTCGTATCGTATTGATATGAAATTTTTGAGAGATCAAAAGGCCAGACATAAAATGACTCTGGGTAAAAAAGACAAGCTATATAACCGGAGGGTTGAGAAGAGAGAACAGAGAAGATTGAAACATCCACAGTTAGTATATAGTGTTGAACAGTTTTCTCAGAGAGATGATTTGACTACAGAGCTTCAGTTTTCTTCTGAAACTAGTGATACAAGTACCAGCATGGACTCAGATTGTTCTTTTGATTTCGAACAGCCAGGTCCAAGTAATGATACGTCGCAGTTAGCCAAGAATTTTGTACAAGATATTGCCATGACTTCAGTTTCCAAAAATATTTCCTCTAGAGATTTGTTGCATGTGTGTACAGATTTGGTTGTTAATTCAGGTGGAAATGTTGAAAACTTTTTACTGTCTCAATCAACTATTTGGCGAGCACAAAAGAAAACCATCCATCAAAATGCTGCACAGCACAAAAGGGAGGTTAAAAAAGCTGCTGAGAAAGCAATTTTCCCCATAATAGCTCACTTTGATGGAAAAATTATAGAAGATTTCACTAATGGGAAAAAAGAAAAAAAGAGACAGGTTTGTTGTTTCAGTTAATATTGATGGAGACATTAAGCTTCTTGGAATTCCAGCTATGGAGCATGGAACTGGAGCTGCTCAGTATGAAGCTTTGAATAATGTACTGGAAGATTATGGAATATGTGACGATGTGAAGGGATTATGTTTTGACACAACTGCCTCAAATACTGGAAGACATTCAGGAACCAATACTAGGTTTAGTCAAAGACAGGAATCTATTTTGTTAGAGCTTGCCTGCAGGAGGCATATTTATGAGCTTCATCTTAAACATTTCTGGGAGCAAATTACCTCAGGCAAAACAGCAGCTCCAGAAAATTTAATGTTTTAATGTTTCAGACAAACTGGAATTGCATCAAAGAAACTGTTGATTCTTCCAATTTAATAAGGTTTGATATCAATTCCATCAGCAATACTTTCTTGGCTACCCAGATTGAGGAAACTATCCAGTTTTGCAAGGATGCATTAAACACTGACATTGTACCCAAAGGGGATTATAGGGAGTTATTGGAACTTACCCTGATGTATCTGCATCCTGAAATATTTTTTAAAGTTCGAGCTCCAGGCTGTGTTTTTCATGCTAGGTTCATGTCAAAAGCCATTTACTACTTGAAAATTCAGATATTGAGTACACATCTGCCCCATGATTTGACTGTTTCCCAAAGGAAAGAGTTAAAGGCAATGGCAGAATTTATCTCGATTTTCTATTCTGTCTGGTTTCTGAGAACCTCATTACCATCAGCTGCACTATTTCAAAATGTAAAAGCTTATTGGCAAATGGTGCAGTACAAAGAACATGAAGAGAAACACAACGCTGATTCCAAGAGGGTTCTAAACGGAATTAAAAGCACAATGATGTCAATGAAGAGACACACCTGGTACTTAGATGAAACTTTAGTTCCACTTGCTCTCCTAGACCCTGACCTTTCTAATGTGGAGAGAGAAAACATTGCAAAAACATTGTTCTCCATACCAGTTCCTGATCATTTTCAGCATTCAGAGAAGTCAAACTTGATCAAAGAGTTAAATTTTAAACAAGAAGTGCCACCAGGACTTGCTCGATTAATCGGAGAGAACTCTTGGTTCATCTTCAGTTTGCTAAACCTGACAAGAATGGAGGACAAACTTTAGTTAAACTCTCCTGCTCCTATGTGGTGCTATGTTGACCAGTTCAAAACATTCTCCAATTTCGTAAGTAAACTTGAAGCAGTGAACGATAGTTCTGAAAGGGCTGTAAAACTTGTATTAGAGTTTGTGAATAATGTTCACAACGAGGATGATCGTCAAAAACTTTTACTAGCTGTGCAGCAAAGACGAAATCAGCTCCGTGGGTCAGGAACCAAGGAACAGTTGCAGCTAGCATATAAAGCAATATGCAAGAAGAGAAAAAAAATAAGATGATTTATATATTATATTAAACTATTGCATTAAATTTTATTATGTTTACATATCACGATTTTAATATTTATATTGCGAAGTGAAGTATTTTTTTAAAGAAAATAAAGTAATTTTAAATAATATGATTTACAATAAAATTTAAATAACTTTGCTTGCCCCCCTCCCTCCCATCTCCAACGAACAAAGTATGAGGAGGGGGGAGGGAGGGAGGAGACATCTCCGAAAAAAGGGTGAGGGGGGCGGATAGCTATTGACATGCCCTTTCTATATAAACATTATTAATGCTTAGCCCTAACATTATTTTTTAAAATTCGGCCTAAATATGAAGAATAAACAAGCATCAGTTATACGTAGTGGTGCGTCATTTTATGTAAAAATTCGTTCTTTTCGTCACTTTCTCCACACTATGTGGAATAAATACCACCATATTTCATTTTGGTCCTACTCTATTATAAATAAATAGTCCAAAATATACCATATAAAAGAAAAGTTGGCTTTCTGAGTTGATTTTAAAGGTCCCCGCCAGACCCCTAAAGTTTAATACGTTTTTGTACACAAATTTGACCGGCGGGGACCTTTAAAGTCACGTGACATTAAAATTTTTGGGCTTAAAATTATTTTTATATTGGTGGTCAACCATTTCAGGTAGGACCAACTTGATTTTCGAAAGTTCGTCAAATATGAATTACCCTAATATATATATATATATATATATATATATATATATATATATATATATATATATATATATATATATATATATATATATATATATATATATATATATATATATATATATATATATATATATATATATATATATATATATATATATATATATATATATATATAAGGGTAATTCATATTTGACGAACTTTCGAATATTTTGAAAACTATTGCGCAATTTTTTTTTACTTATTACTGAAAAAAATTTATTGCATTAATTTTGACACTTCAATCTAATAAAACAAAAAAAAATACATCAATAATAGTTTTACATTTTATTTCAGAAAAAAAACAATAATATCAAGAAAGCTCGCAGTAATTGAAATAGCAGTGGTATCTGAAAATAGAGAAAAAAATATTTTTTATGGTATTAAACATTAAAATTGCAAACTTTTGAACATATATATATAAGATACATTTTTATATATATAAGATACATTTTTATATATATAAGATACATTTATATATATATAAGATACAGAAATTGTTCTAGTAAATGGAAAAATTCAAATCTTTTGTAATCAATTTAAACAATTATTAAAATGAGTGTCATTTGAAATTTTCATTGCAAGACGAAAATACGAATCAATGTTTGTGGAAAAAGCTAAAATGAACCCAAAAGTATTATATAAATATATGAATTTACAACAATATGTAAAAAACTATATAGAAAATTATAGACCTAAATCACTTCCATGTATTACTTTTGAATTACAACAAGGCATAATTAAAAATAAGTTTGAAAAATATCTTTATGAAAATATTATTATAGCTAATCAACAGCATGTTTTCCTTAAAATTAGGTTACGCACAACTAATTTACTTGAAACTCTAGATTATATAACAAGAAATTAGGATCAAGAAATTCCTGTGGATGCAGTTTTACTTCACCTTAAAAAAGCATTTGATAATGCACTACATCAAAGGCTTATCTTAAAACTTGAACCGTATGGTGTTAGTGGCTTCCCAGCTAGCACACTTACATTAGGCCAAGGTAATCATCGCAAACGTCAGCTATTTTTTCCAATGCAATACCAACGTTTATCCAATGTCATTTGGTAAATGATAAAATTATTACCGACGGAACTAAAAACTTCTGGCAAAATTTACATTGGTCCAATCTATGTAAAATATCTCAAAAATTTTATTGTTTTTACGACTTAAACCCAATGATGATCCAATGTATATAATTCGACGTTGATTAAATGTATATAAATCAACGTTTTTCCAATGTATGTAAAAACATCGAAAAAACTTGATTGTTTTTACAATCTAAACCCAACGTTGATCCAATGTATATATCTCGAAATTGATTTAATGTATATACTTCAACTTTTTTCTAATGTATGTAAAAACATCTCAAAAAGTTGATTCTTTATATGATCTGAAACCTAACGTTGATCCAATGTATAAATTTCGACGTTGATTCGATGTATATAAATCAAATGTTGATCCAATATATGTAAATACATCGCAAAAAATTGATTGTTTTTACGAACTAAACCCAACGTTGATCCAATGTATGCGACCAAACATTGTTAATGCAAAATTGTATAATTTAAATAAAATCTTCCGTGATTACTAAAATATCAAACCACAATCAACACAATCTTGATTTATGTTCTAATGATCGAACGTTATTAATCGTATGCATTTATAATTAATGCTTACATGAGCTGTATACATACACACATACATACATACATACATACATACATACATACATACATACATACATGCATACATACATAAATACATACATACATACATACATACATACATACATACATACATACATACATACATACATACATACATACATACATACATACATGCATACATACATACATACATACATACATACATACATACTTACATACTTACATACATACATAAGGATAATAGAATTTAATGAAAACTTAACTTAGAATAGTTTTGAATACAACGTTTTGCTAATTAAAGTTCAACGTTGAATCAACGTAAATACAACGTTGGGCCAACGTATAATATAAAACGTTGAATCAACGTAAAAAGTATAACCATTTTCCGACTTTATTAAAACGTTTTTAGTTGTTGGCGACGTCGCATTTGTAACCGTAATGATATAAAAACAACGTTGGCAGCCGATGTTGGGCCAAGGAAACGCGCGACATTGTTTTAATGTTTTAACAACAAATCTGTGCTAGCTGGGTTAGCACTTCATTGGTTTCAAGCTTTCTTATCTAATAAAAGGCAGAGAGTTGTAATGGGAGATTATGTCTCAACTTAGCCTGATGTGTATAC